TTGGTTTCCTTTGGTGTAGAGAGTGCTATTGGTATTGATTGACCCAGCTGAACTCAGAGCAAGAGCCAAAACTGTGGTATTTCCAGGCAGCTGTGAACAGTTTCAGATGTAAGGAGTGTCAAAGCGATGGAATAAAAAGCAGTGACATTTTCAATATGAGACCAAAAAAGCCCAACTCATATTTTATTTATTTATCCAAAATAGTTTGAATTATTCATTAAAGTCGATATAAGTGTGTGAAAATACAAGGTGTTTCAAGGAGCAGTATCATTAGGGGGAAGTTAATCATTTGGTAATATTAATTTCATAACAGATTAATGATTTAATTTTTTGCAGTGAGGATATTTTTTCCGCATCAAACTTTTCAGGACAGGCAACTTTTTGTACATACTCTTGGCCTGAATACAAAGGAGATGGGATGGTATTTCTGTATATTTTCCTGTTCTTTCTGTTCTCCTCCCTTTTTTTTTTTTTTTTTTTTGCAAGCAGAGCGAAGAGCCAGTCATCATCCCTTATTTTCTCAGTTCTTACTTGTTTCATTAACACTTCAGTGAGGGATGCTTTGGGATGAAGGATGTTTGTGGTGTCATTTTCCCCATCCATGGCCTCTGCAGAGCACATCTGCAACTCCTCTCACCTGTAACAGTCAAACACAGGAACTCAAACAGGTTCTCTAAATACAGGGATTCTAGTTTTCAAACACTGTCTTCTAAAGATATAATTAAACCTAATTCTCCCGATGTTGTGAAAGATCTGAAAGGATCAAGACATTCAGCGTTCTGTAGGTGGTAGATAAAACGTGTGGAAACATTAATGCTCTGCTAATGCACCTGACCCAGCCCAAAAGGATCTCCCTCTGTTCCATGGCCTCTATGGCTGGGCCTTAAATGCTGTTGTGAAATAGCTGAGTTGCACTCTGTGCAAGTCATGACTTTTAAATCAATTTTTCCTGACTGTGCTAGAAATTTGGCGGGAATTAGCAGTATTAGGTGAGGCTTAAGAATTAGCACCATCACAGCTTTGAATTCAGATGTAGAGCAAACAATGAGCTGCCTCTTAGCTTACCATCTTCACTTGATAGGGCACATATTAGAAAGATTAATTGCTGTCCCCAAGTCAGTGCATATGCTGCTGTGCAGGGAATGTTTGGTGCCAGGTCTGTGCTTAGGCAGAGCCATGCTGCAGAGATGCTACATAGGTACCCACTGCCTGAAAAATAGACATCCTGGGCGTTTTGGACACCCTCAAAGCATCTGAGATGTCGGCTTGGGGCTGGCTGGTATCATACAGAACCTGCAGGAAATCTCTTTCCTGCAGAAACATGGTGAAAAGGTGTGAAAAAACGTCCTAGGGCAACTCAGGTGGCTTTGTTTCAGCTGTGAGATCCCATCCATGTTTCTCAAGTCCCAGGTTACCTTTCTATCAAGTGGCTCTTCATGAGGCCTCTTCACAGTGTGCTGTCTTGGTTGCATCAGCAGATCCCTCAGCGGAAAGCAGAGAAGTAGTCACAGTCCTGAGTGCTGTCCTGAGTTAATCTGGGAATAGCCCCGAGCTGAACTGTTTCCAGGGGATAAGCACTGCAGGAGGTAGGCACCAGCAGTTGCTGTACCTGAACCTATCGAGGACTTCGGTTTAATTGGGTGTAAAGGAAGAGCAACCTCTGTTTTACAGTCAAGGTTCAATGGACCTTTCAGGGGGGACAGCTGCAAACATAAGCGACCCTATTGTGTCCCTGTGCCTGCTTGGTTTTTTCTGCTCTGTCCCTAAGCTCAAGAAATACTGTTGGGGAATTGCTAACGGAGCCAGAGAAGGGATGACAAGGCTTTATCCCATCCCTGGCTGGTCCTGGCACGTTTGGCTGCATCTACAGTAGCAGTTCCTGAGTTCAGCACCTTGTGCCAGTGGCTGACACAAGGCATCTCTGACAAGGAGATAAGTTTTTCATGCAGATGAATTCCTTCAGCCAGGACGGCTGACGCGGTGATCCACCAGCACTGCCGCAGGCTCTGGAACGAGGGCCAGGAGGAATGGTGAGGAGGTGGCAAGGGCACGCTGTCAGAAGGCTCTCTAGTCCTTCAGTTACATTGAAAAGCTCCAGATTTCTTGCATAAAAGACTGATCCTAGTCACAGACTTTCCTTTTTCACCCTGAGGGTAGTGGAGGGAAGCAGTTGCCATCACTTAGGTGCAGAATCACACGGTTGTTTCACTGGGCCAGAGCTGTTGGGTGGGTGATAAGGCTGCAGGTGTGAGGATGCTCATGTTGGCCGTTGACAGTACCTGAGAGAGAAAACAGTGGAGAAGGCACTAATTCTTCATGAATAATCAAAGCTGTTCAAGGAGTTAATGAATTAGGGTGTCATCCACCTCCAAGGTTATAAAAGTTGGGAAAGGCAACCTCTGAGATGCGGTGGGAAGAGGCAGATTTACTTTTCCAAGGCTGGGCTGCATTTATTAGGAAAAAAAAATATCACTGTTGGACACAGACAATATATTAAAGGCAGTGCTGTCTCTGACAGTGACGAAATGTTATTTACCACTGCAGTGTAGTCACTGAATTTTTACTTTCATATGCAGGATTTTGTCCTTAACAGTTGCATAGCTGAGTGAAAACAGTGTGAGTATCGAGGTCAGAGCTGCCCATTAACCTCCCAATTTTAGAGGCTGATTACTTGATTAATCAAAGATCAGACCCAACTGAGATGGTGGGGAAAGGGTTGAGTTAATCACACTGTGATGAGTTGGTGTGAGTGGGAAGGTGGGTGGCCAGGAAAGACACAGCCTTTTTAAGCTCATGAGAAGAGGTTGTGTGGAACCCTTTGGGCTTGTAAGGATGGTCAGGATACTCTCTTCACCTTACATGTCCCTGCAGCTGGGGGTTCCCTGTATAGCAGGGTTTTAATAACAAACTGGTGATGTTCCCTACTGTTGGCTTGTTGCCCTGCATAAAGCAAGATGCAGCTGGGGGGAGGCCCCAAGTAAAGGAAATACTTTGCTTGTACATCACCTCCACAAGTGCTCAGGAACGTGAAGCTGGGTTAGCTGAAGGTAAGGAGTTGGCCAGCATTCGCTCTCCCTGCGTGGATGCTCTCGCTCAGTAGTAAAGGGACATGTAGTTCTCTTTAACCGTTAAAAGAGTTCCTGTCCTTGCCTGGGGATTAAGCTGAATTGGATTAAGGCCAAACTACTTCTGAGCAGGGGCATCCTCAATGGCATTTAAGGCACTTTAAGTTAACACATTGAAAGATCCTTTTGTCCCACCCGGAGCTTCTAACCAAAGCAGTACAGGAGATAAGAGGAGACTCTCATTCTCCTGGTATGCTTGCAAGTCCATGGCCTTGCAGTTTCCATCCTACATCCTTCCTGCACTATGCTTGGGAGGCCAATGGAAATATTTTCAGCAAGTACTTGAGCAAAAAGTTTCCCAGCTCACTCTGGAAACAATAATGCTTTAGCATGAGCTATATAAACCCAGCCAAAAATTTTCCTCCTACTGCAGCAGTCACCTTGCTCTGAAGTTCCTGCTGTCCTGCTGTTGTGTTGGACCTGAACTAGCTAAACTAAAGACATATGGGCTACAAGTGCTGTAATTATGTCTCTGATCACAGCACAGGCACAGCCTTAAACCTCAGAATGACAAAGAGGTGTTCGAGTGAGGAAGTCTATTTGTTTGCTGTTAGAAAGAGTTGGGGTTTTTTCTAACCCTGGGCTGCAGTGTTGATAAAACAGGCTGACTGGGGAGGCATCTCTAGTGTATATTAAAGTAAAGCCAATCTCTGTAATTAATGGGAGGATAAATCGAGGTTTAATTACTCAGAAGGCACCTTGGGTGAAAGATTCATGGTAATTGTTGTGTATCCTCTTGAAGGATTCACAGTACTGGCAGCTCCCTTTGTAGCAATAAAGCACAGGGTGACTGGCAGGCAGTCTCCCAGGACCTCTCTGCTAGGGACTAGTCCAGTTAAGGTAGCAAATGCAAAGAGGCAGTGGTGCTCTTCAGGCTTTTTATCACAATAAAACCCCCATCCTGAACCTTGAGGGATTCCTAAGCAGTGTGTCAACTTGAGATCAAAGCACTTAGCGTCGAATCAAGAGTCCGTTGGAGTAGATTTCCCTTATAGGCAGCTTCCTCCTGATGCAGCCATTTGGAGGTGTATTTCATACCATTTTTCCACTTTATTGCTTCGTGTACCGTAACATCCTTCTCTTGGGTTCCGTGTAGGAAATAAGATGTGTGCATGTGGGGAAATGGATGCTATAGCTTTGAATTTGTAGTGTGTTGTTAAAAGACAGGCTGAGCAAAAGAAAAATCCATCCCACCATGTCATGTCTGTTTTCTTTATTCCTCAGTTTACTGTCTTTTGGTCTGCTGGGGCCAGGAGGAAAGGAATCTGGGTTGCCTTTTTCTTTATTCTGCCAGCTTAATTTGCTTTTTAATTAACCTTTTCAATTCACTAACTTTGGTCAGCACTGTAAATCCAGCACAAGGGCTCTGTGCCGATGCCATATAAGAAAATACCCATTTTCTGTCCCTACACAGAGCTGAAGAAGCAAGTGGAAAGTGCAGAACTGAAAAACCAGCGTCTGAAAGAAGTTTTCCAGAGCAAGATCCAGGAGTTCCGCAAGGTGTGCCACACACTGACTGGGTACCAGATCGACATCACCACGGAGAACCAGTATCGACTCAGCTCCGTTTACGCCGAGCACCAGGGGGACTGTCTGCTTTTTAAGGTAGGTCTGCACACCCCTCACTGCACCTGCCTCTTTGGGTTCATGGTTTTCAGCATGCCAGGTATGTATTTGCTCTCTCTCGGTGATTAGACTGGAAAATCACTCCCCTGCTATGTGTCAGGGTGTTCCTTATGAGGGAAGTGTAGATCCTTTCTTTTATTCAAAAATAGAAGGTTTGACATCTAGTCTTCCACTTGTATATCAAAGCCTGGAGTAAAGAGAAGAGACTATATATGCATAATACCTGAGGCATCTGGCCTTGCACTTCACCTTTTTATATGATCAGTTATATGCCGCAGTAATAAAACCTTATGTAACTATCAAGGTTTCATCCTTACTTCACTAGGAGATATATGTCTTTACATTTTTTTGCTATCCTCTAGCTTGTCTGCATGTCATCATCTTGTCTTTATGTAAATGGGAATCTCTTTTGAGCAGCAACTCATCCTGGGGTGTGTGTGAAGTGCCATTTATGTGAACATCATAGATGAGGAGCAATAACAGTCTGTCTTGTCAGGTGCCATTATTGGGCTGGCTGGGTGGGCTGCTGTTGGGTTGTGGCTTGATGTAGGTGCTGTTTGTCATCTGTGTTACCTTCCAGCTGGCACAGTTGGGCTGATGCATTAGAGAGCTGAGGTGTGACATTGGAGTCACCAAGTTCCATCTTTATGTTGGTTCAAGTACCAACAGTCCAATTTTACAGGTTAGTGGGAGACCTTTCTTCTTAGTGGCAAAAGTAACTGCCACGGGAAACACAACTGACTTAAGATCATACCTGCCTCCCATTGATCCCCCTAGGGCAAGTCTCCTTTCTGAGGGTGAGAGTTTTGGAGGTGTTCAGTACAGGGGGGAACTCTACAAGCAGGATCTGGAGAAGTTCTGTTTCTCGAGACCTGCAGCTGTGTGCCACATGTGGATTGCTGCAGGACTGTGTCTCTACATAACAGGGCAAATGTTCTCCTGTCTTGCAACTTCAGAGCCTCAGAAAAAAATTTTTAAATCAAACCACCAAAAAAACCCAACAAATAAAGCAAGTGAGGTTAAGTATAAGACAAGCCCTGGGATCCTTAGTAAAACTAGGAAAATATCTCTGAAACAGTTGTATTGCTTGGCCTTATGGTTCTGGCCTAGGGTTCTTGGCCTTACTCCTTGGTTCTGGACTAACTGAGGCACATGGCAGCAGCAAAAGAAAGCTCAGTGCCCAGGGAGGAGAATAACTGTTGGTTTTAAGGTACTGCCCTTGAATTCTGAAAACAGTTTTCTGTTGAGATGGTGCAATGCTGCTCTAACACCTCCAGACATCTGTGCTCACACCTGTAGTGTTAAATGTTTAGTGCATGAAACTTCAGCAGATTCCTGGAGATGTCTGCTGGATGTCATGGCCAGTCAGTACGAGCTGCAGTTCTTTCTGTGATGTAGGTGCTATATCATGCTTGGAGAAAGTTAGGAAAATGGGAGAAAATTGTGTACCACATGTGGCCACATGAAGAAGAACTGGCTGGCAGCTCAGCAGCTTGTCTCCTGTAGGAGCAAACTCTCCTTCAGCAGAAGAGTTGGTAATAAAGTACAGAATCTTCTCCCTAAACACTCTTCTTCACTCAAATCTCTATTCCCAAGCATGTCCCAAGGATGGGGGTGAGTGTCACCAGGCAGAGCAGATCTCACATTTCCCAGAGGCAAGGGTGGGTTGCTTATTGATTCATGGAATTCTTCAGCCTCTCTTACCTCATCTTACACACCTCTTCGGACAGGAGAAGCAGATTTGCTAATCTGAGCCTGAACAAGAAAATCTCAGACTTTCTCCCTGTTCAGTAAAAGGCAACAATTCCCATTGTCTGCAGCTCTGAATAGTGGTAGAATATAAACAACAAATTACTTCCTTGCTGAGTCCAGGCAGCTGATTCTCTTGTATGTACCAAGGCTTGAATCCTGACTGCAGCTTCCAGCAGGGTTGTGTGTTTATGCTGTGCAACTTCTGAGCCATAGAAAACTGTGGGTGTTTGTGTGCATTTCATTAACCCAAAGAGGTCACAAAACAGGGAATGTTGTTTGTATTTATTCCATTCAAGCAGTTTATGGAATAAGGTCTATATAATTAAACCAGAGAAGTCTCCTGGCACTTTACAAGCTTCTGTAGTTTGCCTGTAAACTTTTAAGAGCATATTTCTGGAGCACTGCTGGTGGCATTTAATTTTAAGTGAGGCTTCAGTGGCAGGGATGCAATAGGAGCTGCTGTAATGTAACCCCTTCAAAGCTAAATGAAGATGAAAGATGTGCTTGGCTTTCCCAGCCAAGGTGTGCTGTTACTGTAGTGGAGCTTATTATCCACCTGCTCTGTCCAGCCAGTTGACATTAATTGGGCTTACGGCTCCAGGGAAAGGGTTAATCACAGTGCCGTGCTGTGAATGTCAATGGCTGCGTCTATAAATGAGCACTGAATTCCAATGAAACGGTATCAGTATTTATTGGTGATCCCTATCGATGCAACAGATGAGCTCATCAGCTTGAAGGATGTTCCAGTGATTTTCAGGCCCTGTGTGAGTGCGTAGGCAGCAAGGCACATCTCAGGCTTCACAGCTCACTCCTGCTTGTTTGCTCTTTTTTTTATTCTTTTAATTAAATGCTGTGGAAAGCTGTGTTACTGATTCCTCACCAGGAGTTTGGTTTGTGATTTTTTTTGTGGGCTGTAATGCATTATAGTTATTGGGCCACTTGACAGTTTTGCATTCCGTTCCCGTTGCTGGTGCATTAGACGTGTCCAGCCGTGACACAGACTTTGTGTTCTGTGTGGTGCTTCACTGGTGTGTCTAGACCAGCCCACCCATCAGTTATCCAGGAACTGCATCGACTCCCTTTTTAACAAGCCATTAAAGATATCTGTTAAAGCAAACAAACATTGCTGGGGAGCCTCAGAATCAGCTTAGCCAACTCAGAATGAGGCGCTGGCAAATCAGGCTGTCATTGCTTGGCCAGGTGTACGTTGTGCTGTTTACCCTTGTCTCTGGCTAGGTCCTGAATGGGAGTAAGGAAATGAGGTTTTTAGAAAGGCATTGACAATTGTTTCAGACAAAGAAAGTCCTTCAGTAAACAGAAAGACTGGTCAAATTTGAAGAGGAGATGATTTGGAGACACTTGTACAAATGAACAAACAGTGGAGAGAAATTAAATCGCAGCCTTTTTTCTTTTTGTGTGCCTAAAGACACAGTCCCAGCCAAGGCATTTGAATCCAATCAATTTAAAAGAAAAAGAGTGGAAATCCTTTCATTTGACAGACACTATGGCTTCAAGGAACTGCTGAGAGCAGGAGCCCAGTACATTTTCTAAAACAGTAAGATATCTCTGTGTACAAATAATAACATCTAGTTGTACATTAAATGTGTACATTGATCTGAAGTAGGGACATTCAGAGTTCTCTGCTTGGAGGTGTAAAGGCAACCTCTTACTACAGAGGTTAGGAAGAGAATTCCTCTGCCTGCTTCCTATTTTTGGGGTTGTATCTGCATACAGTTTTGTTGCTGCTGTACCTGACAATATTCAGCTCCATCCTCTGGGAATACTTGGTAATGAAGACTTGAGTGAAGAAGAGAGCAAAAAGCATACTCAGAGAGAGCAATCTGTTCTTGGTTATTCTCTGTGCTTCAGGTAAACTGTTCCCAGTGTGGTGGCATGAATGTGGGGCTGGTCACTTTGACAGCATCCTGAGCTGAATGAGTGATCAGTCTGATCCTGTGCAATGGCTGCATCAAATTTGTCCATGTTTGCAATCTTTATGGTTTCATATTCCTCTGCTTTCTCAGAAAGGAGTGCTCAGATTTCTTAGTAATTCATGTATAAATTCATTGGGTCTAAGTTGGCTGGTAAAGAGTATAAATCAGACAAACTCTTTCTAGTCTCACAGGGGTGTTATGTGTCTGAGCTCATAAATAGTCTGGCCAAAAGGCTGCCCTTAGACAGATGTTTTCTGTACCCTCAAGAGCATGGCCTTGCAGAACACAGAATTCTCTTTCTTTCCAGGTCTCACCCATGTTATTTTCTGTCAAAATTATCCAGTGGAAACCCAAACACCAGCAGTAGTTCATTGAAGAGCATCCATAGGTTGATAGGCTCTATTCCTTGAAGAGAATAGCCAAGATAACAGGCAGCAAACAAAACCAGAAGCATCTTGGCATAGCTTGGGAATGTGACCAGCTCCAGGGCTGGTACTTGCTGCAAAATAAAACCTTTATTGGTGTGCTGTTGGATTGGTAACATGGTCATAAAATCAAATAGAATCATCAGCTTTTCTGCAGCTTGATGAATTAACAGCTGGTGTGCACATGCTGTCTTTGCACAGCTCTTTAAGGAGTTAAGTACAGAATTAGTTTGCAGATCTGTAAGGGGAAATGTCACTAACAAACTTCAGGGCCTGAAAAGTGAACATTTGCCTCTGATGTGAGTCACTGTGGGTGCAGAGGCTGAACACAGGGGTGAAAAGGATATGGGATGTTCCCTTCCTTTGTATGGAAGAAGAGTATGGCAGGACAGACACCACCTTTAATTTCCCAGTTCTCCTTTGCTTGCCCCATGGCTTGAGTACCTCACTGTCCTCGTGCCTCTGTATTGACAGGCTGTGTGAAGTGTGATAGGGCAGCAGTGTGCACAAGGTGTAATAGTTGAATTCTCTTTTCTTGAGGAGAGAAATGAGGCTGGATTGACTAAGAAGGAACTTGGAGGCTATTTTTCAAACACAAAATGATGCTGACAAACTGCTGGCTGAAAGGGGGAGGCAAAACTCACGTGGCATAGAGAGTCTGATCTGCTGAGATTCCAGCGCAGTCTGAGTATCAGTTTGTCCGGGGTGCACTGGTGGATGATGTACACCTCAGATTAAGCAGGATGGTTAATTCAGGTATTACTTTTCTTCTTCTGAGTGCTCTTGTTTCATCTTGAAGCTGACAGCAGTGTTGGGAGCTGTTATTCTGAGTCTGCATGCTTGGCGTACATGCAGTTTCAGTTATTCC